TCTGTGTTCTGGATAAGGGTGCCTGCGAAACGCTGTAAAAGTAAAGATAAGCTATTTAAACTAGATAGTGTAATCCATATATAAAAGTGCAGTAATCCATGCAAATTATTCGATTTGATGTTACTCATTCAAGGTTTACATTAGTTAGTTTTCTTATGCATAAATTTACATACACGGGTACGGGTAGGATACAAACCTTTTTTTTTTTTTTTTTTCTAAATTATGGGATTTTCATAAATACCAGGTTTTTTTGTGTAAATGCTCCTACAAACTATTTACAAATAAATCAGTGCATCTCCAGCTTGATAAATTGTTGGTACCCATGAAAGAAGCAGGGTATATATATATCATATTTCCTAAATACCAATTTAACACTTGCATGTAACCAGTCACCAAAGAACTGCGCCGCTATCCCTGCCCCTGTATGTTATTAAGTTGTGTTGGCACTGATTGTGAGAGAGAAATTGGTAGACCAAAAAAGCACAGTTCTAGTTTTTTTGTGCTGAAAGTTCTGAAGAGCACAGGATAAAGTGCTTCTTCCAACTGATGACTACAACTACCAACAGTAGTTTGTCTATCATTTCTGATTCATGAATGAGAACAGTCTTGTGTAAATGCAGTACCACATGGTGATGGTATCATCAGGAACTTGTCCCTTACAGACTGTGAGTTTTGTGTGGGTGTTTTGGGTAATTGAAGACCTGATTATCTGCAGGGTTTGAATAATTCAAGCTAGTAGTCTTTCCAGCAAAGACTTGCAGTAAGCTGAGAGATGATGAAACCTGGACAAATTTCACATATTCCCTGGGGCAGACATACTCAAATTTTTCCCCTATCAGGCCCACCTCTGAGTTTTCTAATAATCAATGCATCTTTCAAGCATCAGAAGCATGGCCAAAAACATTACTAGCCTGAAATAGGGGAAGGGTGGTGCTTCCAGAGAATGTCCATTAATATTGGATAGTTCATACCTGCTCAAATGTCAATTGGGTCATTTTATTATATAAAAAAAAAAAGACAGCTCTTTTTGGTGGAGTACATTCCAGAATACTCCAATGTTAAAATGTGGAGCTCCTACACAAAATGTGTAAAGAGTGTGTACAGTCTTTCCTTTTTTGTATTTTTTATCTCAGCTTTCACCAACACTCCACTGAAATTCTGCCCCACAGTTTGTTGCCTAGGGCACAAATCTCTCCCCTGGGGTACGGTCTAATGTTTCTGATGCTAAAGAGGGCAAATACAAGCTTGTGAGATTGCCGTGATGTAGCCAAGTCATCATTCGGACTGAGAGACCTGCCAGAATGACAAGAAACTCTGTCATTCTAGCAAGTTATCGGTAAGGCAAGCTTAAATTACAGTAAGAAGCTACGAGGGCCAGATTCATGAGGGGCGCCAACCATAACCTGATGCTGCATGGAAGGGTATCTTCTCAACTTACTGAATGGTCTTCCAGAGAGGTAAAACTGGAACCATCCTCTAAGAATCAGATGATTCATGACCAAACCAGCAGGTAGATCCATCAGAAGTAAGAAGTAATGGCTTGTTGACAGATCACAAGGTATCCACAACAGTCAACACAGTGGTCTTGGAAGCTTAGCCGCTTGCAAAGTGGATTGGTTGTGATTCAGCATGTCTGGATGTTTTTTGTTGAAGATTCAAGTGTGGTTAAATAGTGGAGTGTGTGTGAGGAAGATGGGTATAAAGGGAAGTTTCCAGGAGTGGTAATGGATCAGCTGGTGAAGAGGAGTTTCAGTTTGAGTATACATTTACATTTGCTCATTTGTCTGGTGCTTTTATCCAAAGTGACTTACAGATGAGACTGAGGGCAGCTGAGAGTTAAGGGTCTTGCTCATGGACCCAAACTTGTCAACTAGCCGGTGCTGGGATTTGATTTGAATCCAATCAGTAGCCCAAAGCCTTAACCACTGAGCTATCATTTCTGCAGCGAATGCCTGCCACTTTATTTTTGAAGATGGTGCCATAGCCTTTTACAGCCAGAAGCGTGGATGGTGGTAATGAAGGGGGGTTGGAAGTAAAGAAAAATGTGCAAGTGGTTGTAGTGTTATTAATCCTGTTCTGGTAATAGCTGGCTATTTTTTCAGACTGGTGTGGTCTTTTAATCTGTGCTATTTCCTCTCAGAGGCCCTGAGTGGACAGAAGAGCGAAGACAGACATTATCCAGGCAAGTGGCTAATGCAGAGCAAAGGGTATCTGCAGATTTATTTACTTTAAGGCATTGGCAGAGAAAATCCGGACGGGAGAAGTGGGTTAGGAAGAGGGAGCAGAGGTTAAGACAGAATTAAATAAAAAGAAGATGGTTGTAGGAAATTATGGAAAAAAAGATCATAAAATGAATGGAGAAAGTAATGGCAACATGGTGGCACAGTGGGTAGTATTTCCTTCTCACAGTTCCAAAGCTTCAATTGGACCAGGGTTTGATTCTAAGTTTGATCCTGAGGTTAGGTTACTGTCTGCATGGAGCTTTCCAGTCTCCTGCCCACAACATGCAAGTAGATGGACTGTCTACTCTACATTACCACAAATGTGATTGTGCATGGTGTACTGTGATGGACTGGTGTCCTGGAGTGTGTATTCTCACCTCGCTTTCTGGTATTGCCAGGATAGGCTCTGGACCTACTGTGATCCTGACCAGGATAAAAAATGTGATCTGTAGTGAATAGAGTAGTTTGTTTCACTCTTGATTTCTTCTAATCTAACCTATCTATACATACGTTATGAGGTCTTAAAGGTGTATCTGCAATTACAAGCTGGCATTCTTAATTGTCCAGGTTTTATATTTCACAGGCTAGCAGTTAACTGTATTTTCAGTCTTTTCTGGTTTTGACCATGGTCTATGTTGCAAAAGAGTTTAGATATGCCTTTACTGAGTAACCCCCATTTTTACAATTGGCTGTCACTTGTTTGTCACCTTTTGCATGGGTATAAAGCAATTACAGCGATTATGCAGCCATCATTTTGAAAAGCAGCAAAATAATATCAACTGAACAGCAAGTATGTTGAACATTATGGGTTTTTTTTTCTTTTTTTGGAGCAGATTATGTGCAGGCCATTGTGGACTGAGAAGATTACCCTTTCTGTGGCTGTGTTCTAGCCAATCCAAGGGGAAAGCTTGAACAATGTGCAACCATGCCCTTGTTGTGAACACTCTTGTACACAACATGAGCATATGATTCCTGGAAAGTGCTGTTAGTTCCATTATGGTTACGTTTAAGCACAATGTAATGTGTGGCAGAACTCTCCTGGTATAAATGTCTTTTTCACATCTATTCACATCATTAGTCCATAAGAAGCAATCACTCCAAATGCTTTTGATTGTGACTTCTTAGAAGCATCTGAGTGCATTTTAGTTAGCAGGCACTTAAATGTGTCGTTTCATGTTATGTACAACCTGTCGGCTGTGAGGAAGCAGAAGTTGCTATTTAGATAGGCTAATTAGACATACCCGCAGATGTCATACTTCCTGCTCTCTTTTCATGCTGAGAGAGAAAAAACTCGCAGCCCAGGCAAGTACGTTATTCTTGCAGGAAGCCATTGCCACACACACACACACACATCACCCTTTCCTCATTAGAGTTCACTTAGAGTGAGTCACATAGCCATTTCAGTCTCTTAAATAGACTATTCTGAAAGGGGAAAAAAAAAATCACAAATGTGACTAACAGTACTCCAAAGGCTTATCAGGGCACATTTTTTTCTGAGTACTTTTTTGTGTGGGCGCATGGAGGTTGGTGAGTGTCTTGGTGGATGAGGAAAGTTTTACATTTTCACTTCGCTTGACAAAGGTACATTCAAATCCAAATTAATGAGTAAAGGGTCTGTACTTTTTCTTTGTATGAGTCAGTCAACTAGTGATTATGTAAGTGATGTGAGAGGCAAAAGTTTTAAAATGATTTGGTCTCAATTGCTTTGAACTTTTTGAAATTTGTTAACCTTAAGACCACAGTACAAATCTAGACTGCCTACATGCATTAGCAAATGTTCTACATACCATATAATAGATGTGACTAGGCTGTATATTATGGCTGACTTGGAAGGTATTAACTGTGCATATTACAGTATTTCCTTGGTATTTGCATTGCGCATTGTAACTTATATATGGCCTCTGTAAAAAAACATGCACTGACGTATCTGCAGTGCTGCTTTGTGACAAAGTCTGTTATTAAAAGTGCCATATAAATAAAATTGATTTAAATTGAATTGAATATCTATCTGTTTTTTTTAAAACTTGTATTAATATGCATAGACAAAATTTAAAGCACAGATCTAGCTAAATATCAGCAAAGGCTCTGAATAATCTGCTGACATTTTATATTTGATGTCAATAAATTAGGAAAAAAAAAACTCAACCCTGAACACTGAAGTTTACATTTGTCACAGTAAAAGGAAAGTACTGATTATTTAATCTAACATTGCCAGCATATTATACACAAAGGTTTCCTTTTCCAAAATCATCTTTATAGCTGATGAAACACTTTAAGATGCACTGTTGTGGGGTGGTGTTGACGTATGGTGTGATGTTGCCCAATGCAAAACAGAGTTTATTTCTCTTATACCACAGGGATTTGCCATCAATTACAATTCTTTGATTTACTGATGAACGATAATAAGGTTAAGCAATTTAGTTCCTATTATTACTTACATTATCTTACATTATATGTATAAACAGTCGTTCTGTTACTGAGAAACTGCAAAATATCATGTCCACTGTCTGAAGACTTTCCCATGGTGGAAACTTTTTACAGTTTTACCTCTGACTGTTTTAATGTGCTGACACTGGAGACTCCTTCCACTGTTGTTGTTGTTCCTCTTTCGGCTGCCCCTGTTAGGGGCTACCACAGCAGATCATCAGTCTGCGTATTTGATTTAGCACAGTTTTTATGCCGGATGCCCTTCCTGACACAACCCTCCGCAATTTTATCCGGCCTTGGGACTGGCACTGAGAGCGCACTGTTGCATGCAACTCCAGTGCATGGGATTGGTTCCCTGGCTGGGAATCGAGCCGAGGCCACAGCAGTGAGAGTGCTGTGGCCTAACCACTAGTCCTTTAGGGACCCAGAGACTCCTTCCATTAATGTTAAATAAGCATCTCCTTACAGTAAACTTCACTATATCAATAATTACACATTTTCCTTTGTTAAAATGAAAATTTGTTAACAGCACATTTCGGAATCTATCAAGACGATATGCCGCATCTGCCGTTACAAATATAGATTGTAATAACGCAAATGGTAGATTAACACAACATTTTTTCAAGTAGTGGGAAGAGCTGTATACTGTATGTGTAGAAACAGCACTGACCACTAGCTGACCTTTCTCCTTGCCAGTCCTTTTCCAGATGGAGGGCTTTCTCACAGGAATGTGACAAATAAACGAGGGAAGCAGGTGGAAAAAACAGATCTTGTTGGCACGGGCACTTGACTGTTGTAATTGTTGAAGCTACTGAACCTTGGCTTCTGATCGTTGTTGGGGCCAGGTGTGGAGGAGATAAGAGAACACCATGCCTCCACCTCATCACCACAAATGATAAGCGCACCGTCTGCCCAATGCTGCCATATCCCAAAACATGAGGATGACTGTTCTCCTATGGTATATAACTGGGGCTCACAGATTGCAGTGTAGGCTGTAACAAGGCTTACAGATGGCCAGTTAGAGCAAAAAGAGGTAAAGCATCAGAACAATGTGGAGATGTGTGGCCCCATTATTCTGAGATGGCATACACAGATGGCACGCACAGTATGTTTTATGTTTCAACACTGCCTCGGGTTTTTCTGTGTATATGATAAAGCTGTCTTCATTGGCTCATTCGCCGGATGCTGGATATTGTTTAGCATTTTGGCACTCACACAAAGGGAGACAGAGAATAACATTTTCTGTCCTCTCACTGATGAGTGATGAGGTATTCTCATCAGGCTCGAGCCCATCAAAATATCTCGACAATCAGATCTTTGCTGCGTTTTATTTCCAACACCAGAGAACATGTCATATTTAATTTGCAGTTCGGCGCACATCACTCTCGTCCTGTGCGGATCCTTTGTTTCCTTCTTGGCGAATGATTTTGCCTTTTGTTCAGGCGAGAACATCATTGAGAGTGATCTAGTCAATCTGTAATTACCTTCCTTTGTTCAGCCACACCAGTAGCCTGTTATTTAGCATCACTTATACCGCCTGCACTTTTTAGCTCTCAGATGGCAGGATGCCCATCACTGAGAAAAAAGAAAGAAATGTGAGTTTTTAAATATTCATGACATCACAGCATTTTTATATATATATAAGAAGTGATCATACAAGCCATTTAGATTTGTGTTTTAATTTGTCGTATATTTTATTGTTCAGGCAAACAAGTTGTTACATACAAAAATAATGAGGTAGTAGAATTTGAGAAATGCTTGTATTTATTGTCTTTATTCATGAGACATACTTCTGCTTAAATGATTTCCCCCACCCATTTTAGCATATTGCCTTAGAACACATTTTGAATATATTTACTGACAAGAGACAGAGTGATTTTTTTTTGGTTGTAATGTTTCATTTGGTCTGTGGTTAAAGTTATGTTCTTATTATGCTCATACCTTTTTCTGCAGTCAGCAGGCATACACACTTGAAATGAGGCAATTTAAACATACAAGTGGAAGTGAATTCTCATCTGTAATAGAAAAGAAAAAAAAGAGTTTTGCTGAAGTATGAAATCATTTCCATTTTGCTAGTGAAAGCAGTAAACAAAAGTTTTGCAGAATTAATACACCTGAACTGTCAGATCATAATTAATGGAGATTGACAAGGGTCAACGCAAAGATTTGTTATAAGAGGGAAATTAACTACGTACACTTGGGCCTTGTGTTACAGTTTTTCCTAATTACTTATACACACTTCTGGAAACTTGGGCTCAGTGTCTCGAAGGCTTTAACACATTTTTCTGTATATATACTTTACACACATTTTGCAAACCCTGTGCATTCAAATTACCACACACTCGTTACATAAAATTCACAACAATCCCCAGTTTTCATGCTGATTAATTAAGAACACGTCCATCACAGTGTGCGTGTGTGTGTGTGTGTGTGTGTGTGTGTTGGTCAGTGTTTTATACATCAGTTAGAAAATTGCAAAGAAATGCAATACAATATTTACTGAAATAGTTATTTGTTTTGTACGTTTAGTGTTTGCAGGTGGAAAAAACCTGTATGGATGGATAAATGGATGGATGAATAAATGGATGGATGGACTGATGGGTGTATTAATGAAAATGATTAACAGCAGGCAAAAAAAAAAAAAATTATAATTTAGTTAGTTAGGTAGTTATTTAGTTAATTACTTGGTTTGCTGGTGGTTTGGTTGGCTGATTGATGATTGATGTATTTTGCATTTCTTT